AGTTGGACCCAAAAAGGAACACATCAAGAGACATCATAATTACATTACCCAAGATTAAAATGAAGGAGAGAATCCTAGAAGCAACAAGAGAAAAGGAAACAATTACCTATGAAGGAGTTCCCATAAGACTATCAGCTGACTTCTCAAAAGAGACGTTACAGGCAAGAAGGGGCTGGAAAGTATTTGAAGTCATGAAAGGCAAGGACCTATGTCCAAGATTATTCTATCTAGCAAAGTTACCATTTAGAATGGAAGGGCAGATAACGTGCTTCCCAGATAAGGTCAAGTTAAAGGAGTTCATCATCACCAAGCCCTAATTATATGAAATGTTAAAAGGATTTATCTAAGAAAAAGAAGATGATCAAACCTATGAACAGTAAAATGACAACGAACTCACAACTATCAAAAACTGAACCTAGAAAAAATGAAAAACTAAGCAAACAACTAGAACAGGAACAGAATCACAGAAATGGAGATCACATAGAGAGATTTCAGTGGGGAATGGGAAGGGAGGAATAGGGAGGGAAAGATACAGGGAATAAGAAGCATAAATGGTAGGTACAAAATTGAGGGAGTTTAAAAATAGTGTGGAAGCCCTGGCTGGTGTAGCTCAGTGGATTGAGCTCGGGCCTTCGAACCAGACAATTGCAGTTTGATTCCCAGTCAGGGCACATACTGGGGTTGCAGGCAGGTTCCCTGCAGGCCAGTTCCCAGCAGGGGATGCAAGAAAGGCAACCATACATTGATGCTTCTCTCCCTCTCTCCTTCCCTTCCCCTCTAAAGATAAATAAATAAAATAAAAAAAAACAATAGTGTGAAAAATGGAGAAGCCAAAAAACTTATATATACAATGCATGGATATGAACTAAGGGAGGAGAAAGCTGGTGGGGTGGGGGCGCCGGGTGGAGGGGAGTAGTGGGGAGAGCAAAAATGAAACAGTGATAGCATAATCAATAAAATATTTTTAAAAATGTAAGATATTATAATAGAAAGAATACAACTTATTCATATGCAAATCTGTATCTAAAACAATTTTAATTTTGTGAATCTGCAAGGATTTCTATACATACCAATTATCCAAAGAAAAAAATACTATTCTATATGTCTCCTAACCTGAATGAACCTGTGTCTTCCAGGAGGCTGAAATTAGGTTTTGGGTTTTTATTTAAATATTTATTTATTTTTAGATGGGGGGAAAGGGAGAGGAACATAAACATATGGTTGCCTCTCACACGCCCCCCCATGGGGACTCAGCCTGCAACCAAGACATGTGCCCTGACTGGTAATTGAACCAGCGACCCTTTGGTTCACAGGCCAGCTCTCAACCCACTGAGCCATACCAGCGAGGGCTGAAATTAGAATTAATAAAGGAAGAAATGGAGATGGGAATCATAGGGAACTTATTTTCTTTTCGAGCAGTTCCCAGGTGCAGATTCACACATTATGTGGAGATTTCACTACTCAAAACCTCTATACTGGCATTTAATATACCATACTCTAAGAAGAAACCAAGAAGTGAACATCCCCCTTAATCAGTAGTCAAGAAAATCTGTACATATACATAAGTACTCCTAAGAATTATTATAGGACAATGATTTTCAGTCTTTTTCATGTCATGATACACATTTAGTATAAAATTCTGCAGCATGCCAAAAAATAGAGTTTTTGCCAATATTATACAAAAATAGGTATAATTTTGGTTCATTCCAACAATGGACAGCTATTGTTATGTTGGCTGTTGTCATTTTTTTTAAATTTTTTAAAAATATTTTTTCATTTCACTTGAGACCTGAGGATTATTGATTTTAGAAAAAGGGAGGGAGGTAAAGATGGGGGAAGAGAAAGAAAGAGAAACATCCAAACATCTATCAGTTACCTCTGGCATACCTCTGTCCTGAGACTGAACGGCAAATTAGATGTGTGTCCTGACCAGGGATCAAACCTGCAACCTTTGGTGTCCAGGACAATGCTCCAACCAACTGAGCTGCCCAGCCAGTGTTGTGATCATTTTTTTATCTGACAATCTAAGGGAAGAGAGGTCAGTGCCCCTGACTAAATAATCAGGTATTGCATGTTTTAAAAATTCTTGTGGAACACTGGTTGAAAATCGATGTTACAGAAAATTCCACTGTGTTATTTCATGCAAATGATGAAAATCTAAGAAACATTAATGTTTAACACAGTAATAAATACCCTTTCAATGTCTGTTACAAAGTAACCTTATTTTTATAAACTTTAAACTCAAAAATAAGGTATATAAAGTATATGCTTATTCTTTCATAAGCACTGGCATCTTCTACATACCAGGAATTGCTACTAGCAATACATACTTACGAGAAACAGGACTGGGAAAGAGGTTAAGGGGCTCTGGAGAGTGAGGAGGACTTTTACTTTTCCCTTCACATCTTTTTGGGTCTTTAAACTTTCTCCTAATATGTATTACTTTTTTACTATAAAAATGGTTCAAAATATATCTTCCATATAAATTCATATTGATAAATACAACAGAAACTAAAATGATTAGGAAAGGCAAGAGTTCTCTGAAAGAAGCTACAGATAAAGGAATTTTCCAGGGTCAGACCAGCCACTTCCACTACTGTTAAGAGGTGAGCAGATATACTGGCTGCAGAGGCTGGGGAAGCTCCCCAAACACCCTTTTAGCCCTGGGGAACACTATGAGGCTTAAAATAAGCATGTATGGGTGGAGTCTACAGCAACTCAATTCAGTACCACTGAACCAGTACGGTAAGAGTGTGGTTCAGGGTAGGTAAGAAGTGTCCCCCAGCTCTTGGTCTGCAGGAGGTCCAAGCCATCCAAGAAAGACCACTTCCTTGGCTTCTGAGATTCACAGCAGTAGCATAAAATTCTATTAGCTATGCTCTATCAGGTATGCTCTACCGGTATAGCTCCATCTTCACAATCTTAATAGAACACATGTTTTTCGGGTTCATCTTTGGGAAATATTATGAAAAAACTGTCATTTTTAAATGGCATAAGTTAAAATGCAGTAAGTTAAAAATGAATGAAAAACAGGTTCCCACCATCATCCATCATGTCAGACTCTATTATATTTCATATGGAAAGTAGACTTAAGATTGAGAACTGAAGTTATGATAAAATATATAGCCTTTCATCAGCCTGCAAAAGATTAAAATGAACAAAAATATCCAATTGTGCTTTTGGGAATGGTGAAGCAATATACAAAGTCAGAATCCTTGTTCCCCTCCCTGAGACTACTGAGAGTGAGCAAGAGAGAGAAGGAATAGTAAAGCCTGTCATTCTTACCACCATAGAAAAAATAATGAACTTAATTAAGTAATAAAAATGTCTAAGACAAAGGACATAACATACTTCCTCCACACCAAAATTAATTACATTTATTCTACAAATATTTCTGAGCCTCTCCTACGTGCTCTTCCATGTGAGGGGACACAGGAATAAATACAACAATGTATAATCCACATGGTGAAGAATAATTCTAAGCGCTATAATCAAATTTTGTCTCATTTAAATAAAACTATAAAGAATTCCAAAGTATTTCTATTTATTCCTTACTAAAAATTTATGAACAGTTTTATTAAATTTCCTTTGTATAAAAAAGTGATTAAAGAAACAAAATTAGTGCGATCCTTTTTAAAGCATACTATATTAACTTCAAAATGAATGTTCTACATTTTGTCACATTTGAGGTAAATTACTATTAGTAATCTCTCTAAAGCACAGTGAAAGCAATGGAATTCTGAAAATTAAAAAAATTCAAATCTGAGTATTAATCTCTCTTATCTAATAATGCTGTTTTGGCAAATGGACTAAGCCATTATTTATCCAGCAAAATGAACGAGTCAATTGTTCATTCAGAACTCCATCTGAAATATGAAAGTATTTAGTATTCTAAAAAATGCTCCGTAAACAATAGATTATAATGTCTATGTTCAAGAACTTGTCTATCAAATAAACCCTTACTAGCTTACATCATGCCAGTCTTGGTGCCACAGGGCTCATTAAAATGTCTTCTTGAAAATCTCAACTGTATTTCAATATAAAGCTTAGATGTAGTTGTCTTCACATTTCCAACTTCATTAAAAAGCATTCCTTAAGGGGGAAAACCCCCCAAATATTGCAAATGGTTAGAGAACCATGATATATCTGTATAAGAAGTGAGGTGTTCTTTTATTAAACTGAAATAATGTAGTGCCCCCCTTTTCTAGTGAGCTCAAGAATTAAGTTTAGAACCTTTGAAAAGAAAGGGGGGCTGTAACGTACTCAACTTGTCTGATGGGGTCTAAGATACCACCAAGTCGGGCTGCCGCCGGGGCCGGAGCAAGTTCTGAGGCTCCGAGGTCGCCAGCAGCAGCGCCGTCAGCAGCGCAGCAGCTGTAGCAGGTAGAGACCTGCGGCCGGGAAGCAGGGCCCCCGCTCCCGGGTGCGGGTAGCCAGGAGCAGCTAGCTCCGCGCCCCAAACCCCGTAATGCAACATCCCCTTTGACACCAGGCGGAACACATGCTCTCTAGTAATTCAACACCCCTACTTTCAAACTGGAGGCCGGGGAAGAAGTTCTAATAAATTCCTTCCCCGCACTGCAAATTCTGTTTCTACCTACGCTTAATATCTGTATTTTCAAACTACCCTAAAGGAACGCGCCAGGCCGCGCCCGGGGCCGCGCCCAGACGGCGGGAATCCGAGGATCCCCCGAAGCACACAGAACAGACCGGGGCTGAGGCCGAAGGCGGACCCCGAACCCACCGGGAGGAGAATCGCTCGACTCCAAGTTCGAGCTGCAGCGGGGTTAAGACTAGAATCGGGCCTCGCGGCTCCGCCAACCCTGGGAGCGGCCTGGCCAGCCGACCGGGGCGTTAGGGCGGCGGCGCCGCAGCGCGCGAACACAGGCGCTCGAGGCCCTGGCAGCGTGGGTCCGCAACTTACCGCCACCTCAGCGTCCCTGGTGGAGCCGGGGAGCGGGGGCATGGCGGGGGGAGGGGGGAAGGAGCCCTCGGCTTACCCCAACAACGAGCGGGTCCCCCTCCCGCAGTGTGGCTGGAGCGCTCAGCGCTGGTGCCGCGCCTGGCGCTGCGACTGGGAGGGAGAGACAGCGGTAGGAGTGGTGCGGAGAGGAGAGGCGCCGCCGCCACCGCAGACAGCTCCGCAATATGGCCGCCTAGTGCCTCCTCTACGGGAGGGGGAAGGCGGGGCTGCCCCGCGCCCCCCGCCTCCCCCTGCCGGCCAGTCGGCCTCGCGCCACTACCACAGCGCCAACGCCCGGGCAGTCGCCGCCGAGAGAGCCGCCAGCGCCCCGCCCAGCCCCGCCCCTTGGGCTCCCTGTGCCCGCTGTGCAGCGTTTACCCGAATTTTGCGGTTAGGGGCTGTACCCCGCTAGGGATGAGTGCTGGGCCTCGGAGTCTCAGGGGAAATGGGGCGCTAGCGGAGGAAAATAGACTCCTTCCTGGGGCTGGGATTGCGTGAAGCCGACTGTTTGGAGGAGCGGAGCCGCCCAACCCAAAGTGCTCCCGCCTCCTCCCTCCGGAGTGGAAACTTGAAACTCCCGCTGTGCCAGAAAACTCACCGAGGGCGTCTGCAGAGCCCCCAAGGAGGAATTGTTCCAACAGGGAATCCGGAACCACGTCGAGTGTGTTGCTTAGCTGTTCGGCTTGAAAATCCTAGATCGGGGGAGAGAAATGGGCCTATCTTAGAGGAATTTATATTTGCAGCGAAGAACGTTAAATTATTTTGGCAGGTTTTATCTAACTAGAATAACTTGCTCTTTCAGGGGCAGGTTTTAAACTCCACCAAGACTTCGATGGATATGGCCTCAAAGAAGAGTGCAGATTTTTATCCAGGCAAGGATGTTTGATAATTTTTTATTACCACCGATATTCTTTGGCATTTGGAAGGAGTCGATTAAAAAGTTGGAAGTGGAGCCCCCAAAAGCAACCAAACCTAATTTTTTCTAAATTTAGAGAAAGACATTTGATCATAGTCTAACTGTAGCCTACTCAAGTTAGTGCCTGGGACTAGATAAACTTCTGGTCAGTGTTGTGTCATCAATGACACGATCCCTCTCCTTGCTATTTTCTGCTGGGATGCAAAGAACAAATGCACAAAATTAGATTAGCCTAGCTTGCTCTGTTTGCAGAGCTTCATATAGTTTACCTTTCATGAACAAATAAAATAGATTCAAATAGAATCCCTTGAGTGTACTTAATTTAGAACAATAATCCATATACTTCCTTAGCATTTGCCTTCCCTGAGAGTTCTTTCCCTGGAACTCTCCCCAGATCACTCTATGCTCTTCAGTGAATTTCCCCTATTGTTTTTTGAGATCTCTCTGAACAATTAAAAAAGCCCCAAGAGTTAACTCAAAGGCTTTTAGATTGCAAATTCCTCCAGGGTGGAGGGTGTGTTCTTTTTTTTTTTTTGAGATTGTTCCCTGACCTCCCTGGAGTGCAAGAATTATCCACAAATTGCATGCATAATAATCCAAGTAACATGTGAATTCCTAGGTGGTACACTAAGTAAATGTATATAACATACTTTTGCAATGGAAAATGGAGGGATTTGTTGTTGTCATGTGCCAAGACCTGGTGTTAAATGCTTTTATATGACTTTCTTCTAATAGTTACAATACCCCTGTGCTTGGGAGGAGAAAAAAAAACAACACGAATGAAGAGAGCCTCAAAGTAGTTAAGTAATTTGCTCAATGTAACACAGCTCTAAAGTGGCAAAGCTATGACCAAACCAGTTACATTGGACTACAAAGACTTGATTTTATTTATTGCTTACTATGCAACAGCAAACAAGACAGAACAGAAATTGTAACATTTCACTTGGCTATCATATTAGTAAATGTTTAAGTAAAAGATAATATTCAAGGCTGATGAGATAAAAAGGATGCTACAGACATTGTGAGTGGATGTATTAGTTGAACAATCTGTTTAAAAAGCTGTTTGGCACTGGAATTCAACCTATAAAGGTGTTCATGGAAACTGTCATTCCATTACTGGTATTCTTTATGAACAAAAAAATCTGAAACAGAGCAAAAACTTTATTCATAAACTCTACATCAAAAAATTATTTATAAGATGCAAAAATAAAAATAGGTCTACGCTGTAGCATTTTAGGTAATAATTTTAAATGTTTAATGTATATAACATCATGGTGTAATGGTTTAGGCCAGGAGGCCCCAGGGTTTCCCAAAGGGAAGATTTGTAACCGGGTCCAGAACCTGGGTTGTCCAAGGATATAGAATATGCACACAAGTTTGGCTGGGGAATGAATGGGAGATATGGAGCATGGCCATTGAGGATTACTTTGCATATTAATAACAGGCTAGCTTTATATCCAATATGCAAAATAATAACAGCCGACTAGTTTTCCAGCTTGAGTGGAGCTAGAAAATACACCTGACTTAAACCCATGACAGAACTGGGAGGCAGCTCCCCATCGTTACAGCTCCTACAAGAGAGCTTGGAGATGGTTTGCTCCACGCCCTGGGACCACGCCTGCCCAGACTAACTATGGCAGCCAAGTAAGGCTGAAAAAAAAAAAAAATGCAGGAGTGCTGACAGGTGTAGCTAATTATGGGAGGAATTGGAAATGAGGTTTCAGAGGGAGATCTGAGTGGGGATTTAAATCTAGGTATGGCAACCATGTGATTTTTTAGGAGCAGAGAGGGGTCAGCCTCTGATCACGTGGCTTAGGAAGCAGCAAAGCAAGATGGAGCAGTTTCAAAGGATGCAGAAGGATTCTCAGGATGCAGTTCTGGATGAAGAACTAGAGATCGTGGCAACACAGCTGATGGTGCTGGGAACTTTGGTAGACCTGCCCAGATGAGCATGGATTACTGGGAGGAAGTGGAAATCTAGCCGAGCTACAGACTTCTATTTCTTTTCCCTGAGTTATTGTCCCCCTGACTACTGGCCTGGTTGAGCAAAAAGGGGTGGGGGTGGTAGGTGGAGGCAGGATTGTGTGTGTGTGTGGCAGGGGTCTTTAAAGGGACTTTGAGATTTTTAACGGCAATGTTCTGCCATTACTCTAAATCTGTTTAACTTTTGAATAAATAGTTCCTTTCCTTTTTACCAAACTCTGGCATTGGGAGCCACAATTCCTAACACCTGGTCGTGTTGCATCCACCGTCATGAGAAACAGGGGTTCGGAGACTTTCAGAATTTTCAAGATGTTACTTTATTGGCCAAGTCTTACCTGCGCAGGGGTGAGCTCTCTGAGTGTCCGAGGACACTATGCTCAGGAGAGCTGCAGATGAGAGCCGCGCCCCGGTGCTTACAACTATGTTCTTATATAGGGGTATGCAAGCAAGCTTTGAACAGAAGCAGATGTGGCTGTTAGCTATTGGCTAGCTCTAAACAGCTGATTGCCATTGGCTTATTAGGGAAATTCAAAAGGCTCTTTGTGTAGTTGGCGGTTAGCCCTTTTAGGAAGTAAAAATTTCCCTGTTCCTGGTCATCCTAACTTTATCCGGGGCTCATTCGGGATTGTCCCTTTTCAACATCTGTTTTGGACCTCAACAGTGGCAGCCAAGACAAACCTAGAACAGACAAACCTTGGGGGAGGGGGCTTGTTTCAGTTACAGTATCTGGGCACCTTCATGGGTTCCTTTTGGTAACAATGGCAGGTGGTTTTTTTATAGTAATTAGTATGATCACACCTATGTAAAAAAAAAACCAACTATGAAGTGTGGGGGGAAAAAGGGTTGAAACAAGAGTTGTCTCTGGATAGTGTTTCTATGGGCATTTTTTTTTCCTATACTCTATTCCTCAGTATTTTCTGTTACTTTTACAGTATAAAAAAATCTATGTAAGTTTTGACTACAATGTGGCTGTCAATTACACAAAAATAGCAAAGCTGCGGCAGGCTAGTAAGGAGCCAGGAAAATTCCTCAGCAAATGGAATGGGAAAACTGAGACAGACAGCTGATTCAAACTGGCCTCATCCAGCACCAAGAGCTCTGAGACCCTTAGACACTTTGCTGTAAGTGTCCCCACAAGATTTACAACCAGGGCAGCAGACAGTGGCAGCTCATCCCAGGCTAATCCCCTGAACATGTCTCCAAGGGCCCTTCTTTTGCCTCTGTAACTTGTTCTCTGTGTCCATGCAGCCCAGCTGGCTCACCACTTCTGCCCCTGTGACTTTCTAAAAGGCTAAGACAGCTCTCTAAGCAGTGCACTCAAACCTTCCCTTCGAGCGTATTTTTGCTTGCATGCTAAGTAAACTTCCTCTTGTGCTAGAGTTCTTGGCACTAAATCCTTTCTTTGCTGAATTCAAGAACTGAGAGCCTACTTTGCTGGTAACAAAGCCAGTGTTTCCTAAGTGTGAGGCTCTTTTGTGAAGAATTGTGATGAACTGAGTTGACAGGATTTTATAGTCGGGAATCAGGTTTACCGTTCACAGTAAATGTAATCTACATACCACTGTTGTAGCTTGTTTCTTACATCAAATATATGCAACTATAAATGAAATATTAGATACTTAATTGAATTTTTTTCTGTTTAATTCCAACATTTCAAAATTCAAGGGGACATTATTACATATTTGCTGAAACTACCTTTTTTCAGAAAAAAATTCGATAATGTTAGGCAGGATATATAGTGAACCAAAACAGGAAGGTGGGGGAGATGAGTCTCACCCATTAATTCAGCAGTCCTCAACCAGTCCAGTAAGATTGCTGGGCATTCTGAACATCACAAGCAAAGACTGCACAAGAGGAGGGGTGTCCTTGAGACTGTGCTGGGAAAGGGAGCTTCTGTAGCAATTTCACTAACACAAAAAGCCCTTGTAACTGCATTTTGATCCCAAGGTCCAGAAGGGGGAGGAGGAGCCTGGAAGCTAGCTAAAGTATATAACCCACAAACCCCAATAGTTGGGGAACTCAGATTAGCTGAGAGTGCTTACTTGTAGTCTTTTTGCACAAGTATATTTCATAAATAAACTTGCTGTTTCATTTCCACTATACACGTTGTCTCTTGTTTGAATTCTTCTCTTGAGAGCAAGGCAAGAACCAAAGAGGGAAGCCCCTGACTCAGGTCTCCTTGGTAACAATATCAATAGTTGCAAATAAATTTTTTTTAAAGATTTTATGTATTTTTACAGAGGAGAAGGGAGGGAGAAAAAGGAGAAGAGAAACACCAATATGTGGTTGCCTCTAATGCCCCCCCTACTGGAGACTTTGCCCAC